AACCTTCGCTCAAAGTCTAAAAAAATTATGCATAACGTCGTTTGTTGATAGGTGAGATAGATTTTCTTTAACTTTGAATGGAGGTTTCTTGACAATAACTGAACCAATTTTAATAAATTTTTTTTTATTCAAACTCTAAATATGCGCAGAATTCAAATAAAAAAAATTTAATTGAAATTGGTTAGGTAGTTATCGAGAAACCTTCACTCAAAAGTTTTGAAAAAAAATGAAATATGTAATTAACAAATTTTATCTGATTCGCCAGATGATGATCTACAATACGTGATCCAGACATTTTTCTTCACCATGGCTAGGGTGCTCATTTCTGTAATGATGACGTAATACCCGTCACGACGTCATCATCACCGGCGAACATTAGGGGAATATATACAAATATTTCATAATACAGTAATACGTACTATTATTTATTTACGTCAAATATATAAAGCTAAATTAATTTTAATTTTTTTAACAGCATACATATATACGTCTGTACATATATACTGATTTATAATTTCTAAATATTAAACACACCAAACTAGTAAAACGCACTCATAATAATTAGCTTATTTGATATACACCATGGAAAAAAGGCTAGGGTTGGGTCACGGGATTGTGATTTCATGGACACGATATGACGTGTTACTATACGAGAGACGTGTCCACGCATGAGATACTATATCATCCTCGCTCGAATTAATCATATCTCCAATCCTCATTTCGTAGACAATCATTTCATAGTCATCTTATTTTTACACCAACATGTTTATTTCAAATTCACTTCATAGATAGTTCATTTCACCATAGCTCATCTTATAGTCAGTTTATTGTACCAACAAAGTAATTATAGTCACTATGCTTAAATTTGGTGCAATATGCGTAATAAATTGTCGGTGAAACAAACTGTCTATGAAATGAGCTGTTGGCGAAAGAACTTGTCTATAAAATGAGTTGTTGATGAAATAAATTGACCGTCGGTCGCGAAATCAGTGATTTACAAAAAGCAAAATAAATTTTTTTTAATAAAAAATAAAAAACAAATAAAGCTATTATTAAAACTTAAAAACCTGCTAAACTTAAAATCTCGTCCTGTATGAGGTCATCTCACATTTCTCAAGAGGTACATCTCTAGCCCTAACTCTAGTTTCAGTGCATGTTTAGGTTATACCTTTTTTCAAGAAATTTTACAAGATACAAAAAATCTTGGGAACATACTTGTTTTTGATAAAAACTCGAATTGGTCTAATTTTTTTAATAAAGTGAAAAATGCTATCGCTATTGGAATGGACAAATAATTATAATCATTTTTGATTAAAAATTTATAATTATCAAAAGCTTAACATTGTTTATTTTGAAAGCTAATCGTTTATATTTGAAAATGAAAATTTTCTTTTTTTTTTCTAACAATTAGGTTGTATCTATTTAAATCAAGTGAATATAATCAAATCAAAATTATAATAAATAAATTAAAAAGCAATGCAAAATATAAATTAATTGTTACAAATTATTTAAGTATTGTCTATGCAAGTTTTAAAGTTTTGTTTAAATGTTTTTTTCCATATAATACACAAAAAATACTCAGTATTGTCAAAACACATCCCACTAAGAGTTCACATATTTGATTGATTTGTGATGACACTAAAAATATCCTTATACTGTTCTGACCCCACCTATTATTTTTTTTTTAGAAAAAACAGTAAATTAATTACACAAGCAAATGAAATAAAATAAACATTACATACAGTTGAACCACTCTATAGCCATATATATATGTATAAAGTAGAGAGTTTGGTTATAGAGAGGTCAGATTGTACTTACCTGCTCTCAACCCAAGTAGCTTTAGTTGGATCTGTAACTAAAAGACTTCCATCTTGATTATATTGTAGTCCTGCTCCATATGCATCATGATATCTTGTTAATGTTTTTGTACATCGACCCATATAACAAGATTCGCCATTCTAAAAATCGTGTATAAAAAAAAAAAATTAAAGTATCTGCCTGATCTTTCATCAAGAAAAAAAATAGTTATTACCTGACAATCTGTGGGCACCTTACAAAAAGCTAGTGAAGAATTAAGGCTCAAAAAGTAATTGTATGCTAAGGTCGGTATAAACCCAGGTTGACCATACTGAAAATATGATGAATAATGGTGAACTCTTCCCATATTACGGCGTACTAATATATTATAAAATAAAATTTTAGTTAGGCATGCAAAATTAATTAATTGGTTTTCATAACCCGGCCGGTCAAATTTTAAAGGCTTGCAAAAAAAAAAAATTTCAAAAATTTTATATATGAATTTTAAAAATAAAGTCGGCCGACCGGGTCTATTCAAAAGTTTATGTTATTAAAACCAAGATATAAATTCGGGTGGCCTTATTAACAAAAACCCCAACACATTTAGATATTTATTTATAGACAATACTCACTATTAAACAAAGATTGATCTAAAGGACACGAATAATTAAATACTAAACAATTAAATAATGTTTTAACTAGTGTACAATTAACCGATATTGAAATATTAGAGTAATTGGGTCCTTGTGCTTGAAGCCAAACAGTTTGAGCCGTAACATTTGCAATTGAGCAAATTGAGCCAACTATAGAATCATCGGGAACGTTGAAAGCATCATCATATTCACTATTATAATAACTGATAATATCAAAATTTAAATCATCGTTAATTAATAACAGATTCATTCATTAATTATAGTTCAATCAAAAAAAAAAAAAAGTAAATTCAGATACTTTGTTAAATTGTACTGAAAATCACCCAAAACCACTGCAGCCAGACTCCGATTCTTTTCCAAAAAAGCCATAGAACTTGACGGCGGTAATTTGTTATTAATTCCATTTGCACTTGCCGCTTGTACAAATGCACTCCCGTTATTTATTCTCGCTGATATATTGTTCATCTTGTTTATCAAATCAACGTTCACTGTACTGTTTGAATCCACATGAACATAAAATCCTTTCGTATTCATGCCAACCTGACTGAACTCAAATATCGACTCAATATTTGTAAAGTTGATCCGCGTAAAATCAAGATCTTGTTTACATGGAAAACCACAACCACCCTTAAAAGGACAACCTTTTGCTGATCCTTTTATCTGACAATTAAATTGGGTAATATCTGCTACAAATCTTGAGGAACCAGCAAAACCCCACGCCTCACCATCAAATAATGTATATAAAATATGCTTAGGAAGATTGTCAAATGCGATTTGTGACTGTCAATTACCAAATTTATGAGATGAGAATTTTGAAATATAAGATAGAAAATATAAGGGATAAAAGAAATTTGCTTACTCGACTTATAGCATCTGCGACAGCCAATAACGCAATTGTGCCTGAAATTCCATTATCTACACCTAAAGTCAACGTATGAAACAATGCACGGCTGTCCATAGCGGCCGCAACAACGATAATTGGTTTATTATCATCATTTGATATATTAACAGACAGCGTAGAATATACAGACAGCCCACCCACAGGTGAACAAAAATCTAAATGAATAATTAATAAATGAATAAATAATGAATTAATTTATATATTAATAATTATTAAGTTGAACATACCACGTCTTAGGCAAGTACTAGCATCTATTGCGGACCACATAAATGAACTAAGTTCTACAGCTCGTAATGGATATTGATTAAATGACTTCCTCAGGTTGTTTGCAGCACCCTAATAGATTATTAATATTATATAGTCATATAGTAATTTCTATTGGTTTCTTTACACCTTCCTACCATCATTGTGAAGACTATAATTTAATATAGCTCAATAGATAAATTACAAATCGCTCATGACAATTTGCAGGAAATTTGTCCGCAAGACGGTGTAGGAGATAATGAATCAAAAAAAGAAAAAAAAAGGAATGCAACAAACCTCCATGATTAGATTATAAGAATTTAAAGCGCGACCATCAAGTGGATAAACGGCAAACATTGGAAAATCAAATCTTTCTTGAATTAATCCTTGTCCCTAAAAATATAAAGTTTAAATTCAATTTGGCTGCAAAAAAATAAAGAATGAATAAATAAATACAAGAGATTAATATCTTTACATTAGGATTCCACTGATATTGGTCCGTTTCGTCCCTATATAATCCATATTGACAATTTGGACATTTCTCATCTGGTGAAAATGTACTTGGCCTTGGAGAAACGTTTGATGTTCCATTTATTATCGCAATAATTCCACCTAATTTTCGTGATGATTCAAGATCACGAAGATTTTGGCTTGATTATATAAATAAAAAAAATTTTTTATTAATATTATTATTAAAAGATTAATCACTTTTTGTTTAGGTATATTATTTTGAATACAAATTGAAGTGATTAATTCGGAGCTCTAATCGCATTACTAATTAGAAATCACAAATCACACCAAATAGTATACTAAAAAACTTTTGATAATATATATTCAAAAATAACTACTCGTTTAAGAAATCATTTGGGATCTTTACTAGGGAAATTATGTGTTTCATGATTGGATTTCTCTAGCAACGATCCCATTAGGAAAGAACAATAGCAAAACCTACATTGTCATCAATGCATAAGGCATAACAACAGCAAATTTTCCGTTCAAATCTTGTCCAATAAATGTTTTAATATCGTCAGATGTATTTATTGGGTATAATATTCCAGTTACTGGTCGGAAGGCTATGTGAACAGAAAACGATCGTAAGAACAATATTAGCATGCTTTCAAACCTAATTAACTGATATTAAAAATAATTACATTGACACCCAATGACCCCAGTAGAATTCAACAACCTAACACATGAAAAGGTGGATAAATCTTCATAAAGCCTTCCATATACAAGAGTGTCATCGGCTATCACTAAATTCACAAGAATTCTCGGTAAGTAAAATCATAAAGTATGCAAAATAAAGGTTTTACGTGCCTGAATTTATAAAACATCGAAAGGTTTCTAAAAAAAGAAATACCACTAAAGTAACATTTAGTGCTCTTAAACGAAATCGTTTCATTGGAATTAATTATTATACAGTCGAGGATCTTTAAAACTGTTTGATTAGGTACGTAAGTCGGTTAGAACGTGTTTTATCATAATGATGCACGTTGATATTTTTGTGTAAGGATGTGAAACGTATGTTACGGCTCTTATATGGAAAAATTACATCTTTCTTTATTATTTTAAAGGTTACGTTACAATGACCGATAATGTATTCAATATGCACGTACCTATAACATCAATTTATTTCAATTTTTCAATTAATACAAGTATATCAGCAAATAAAAATTTCTTGCCGACATTATCGTTATTATCGGACGGAAAATTTTCCTTTTTCATTAAAATATTTTTAAAATATTTTATTACGTATACGTATACGTACTCTCATTTGTATAATAAAATTCTTTACATAGCATTTAATTCGACGTACGTAATCATTGCACAAAGTTAAAGTACGTATATATATATAGTATATATAGTTAAAAATAAATCTGATAAAAATATCTTTGATCTAGAGTTAATGTATTTTTTTGTCTTTTTCATTTAAGTTAATATAATTACGATTAGTTAAAATAATTTTTTGGAGTCAATGCTTCAGCATCAATTTTACAAAAAAAAAATGAAGACTTTATTTGAACAATCATTCTTGATTGAACGAAATCAACCATTATCTCCACAGTGTGGCGAAAACCAATCATATCTCCAAGATCAGGTGTAACGTAACATGATCAGGACTCATCTTTCGTGCTTTAACAAAAAGTTTTCCTTGAGCGATTTTACTATCCGCTATCCCAATTTCTGGACATAATATAAGCCCTAACCTTCTCAGAATATATTCTTATTCTACATAATCGTAGAGTTTAAATAAAAAAACTCGGAAGTTGGTTATGTGAAGCCATAAAAAATTATGCTAGTGGTCAAACGATTATTAATCGTGTAACTTATTTGTAGATAAGCGACGAGATTAACCGTTCATTAGTCGTTTAACAGTTGATCCATTTAACCGCCGTTTATTGATCATTTATTTAAACGTTTAGCCATTTACCGTATTGCCTCGAAATAACGCCCCGGGGTGTTGGTTAAAATTTTGGCCGAGACTATACGGTAACCGTTTATTGATTATTTTATGTATCGCATTACATATTAATTACCCAGTGCTTCTGAAACAACTTGTTCCTAATGAAACTTTGATTTGACATCACAAAATAATTGGGATTAAGTTTGCGCGGCATACTTTTTTAATAAAGCTACTTTATGCTAGCGATAAACATTTATTCTGTGAATAAAATCTGATTAATAATCTTTATTATATAGATATGCTATTTACCATGCGCATATTTGTTTTCCTCCACATCAGGCATTAAATGACCATTAAATGGTCAAATCGTATAAAATTTAAAAATGGTTAAGCGAATCATTTAACGGTTTTTTCGTTTAACCGTATAACATAAATAAAAAGTAGGGATGTTAAATTGCGAACCCAGTTCGGTCGGATCCTAGGAATTAAAGGACTTAAATCCTGCATCGAAATCTATTGAATAAGTTCATCTATTTTTATGATGATGTAATGGCGTGAAAATATCAAAAATTATTCCACGGCATGACATCATCAGTAAAAAGTTTCTATCAGAAATGTTACGGGCATAGTACCGTAAAATATAACAGATATTCAACGGTGTGCCGTGACATCATGCATTACCACGGCTTCGCCGTGCTAATTCATGATATTCACAACAGCCCGTGGAATATCTATTACTAATCAAATTAATTTTGTATTATTATAATAATTCAATTCAGGACCGAATCCTTACCGATCCTTAAAAGATCGATCCTAAAGGACCGATTAACAGTTCTAATAAACGGTTATAGGCTATTAAATGAATAATGGTTCCAATCCCCACACCCAAAGTTGAAAAATTCTGGCAACTTCTATTTTTTAAGATATTTTATTAAATTTCGTTGTGTTCCCAACCTTTGCTCAAAATTTAAAGAATTTTGTCACAACTTAATTAAATTTGATTATGTAATCGCCAAGTTATAGATATTGCCATCCAATAGGACAATGGGAGTAATCGCCAAGACATCAACATTAGAGATATCGTCATCCAATAGGACAATGGGAGTACTCGCCAAGACATCAACATTAGAGATATCGCCATCCAATAGGACAATTGGATCACTATTTCAAGAACACGGGGGATTAATGTATGTGAATAAGCAGAAACTTCGTTTTCGCCAATTCCCGACGAATCAGGATATTATAATTACAAATCCATGGCTAAGGTTTATTGAAAGACTTTCATATGATTGGCTGTTTAATTCTATTTAATTTTACATTATTTTTTTAAAAAAAAACTACAAAGAATATAAATAAATATATTTATAGAAAGGTTTATTCTGGTTGTAGAACTCCACTATTGAAAATAATCACTATTCCTTCTTATTTTAAAGAATTTAGTACAACAATAACCTAGTTCCATTCATTTTTAAAAAATCGTTATTATACTAACTTCTCAAACAAAAAAGGATTTTGATTAATAACAATAATAGTAGAGTCCTACAATAATAAAACCTTTTTATATACTTTTTTTTTTAATATGGTACTTCTATAAAATTGATACATAATTTATTATAGATTATCTACATCTAATATAAAATATTTATTAATAGTTTGTAAATTTGGCGCATTTGTACGTAGGTTTGATTTTTTTTTTTAAAAAAAAAAAAATCTATGAAATTCGTATAAACCACACTCTAACCCAAATCTTAACCTGGTTTGTCAAATAGGATCTTCCTATGAGGCAGTGTTTAAAATACAATATTTTATATTGTCCTAAAAAGATTTTTTATTGTTTTAAACAAATATCAAGTGACATAATTATCATATGCTAAGATAATTACAAAACAATTGTGTAGGTTTGTGAAAATAAGAGTTATCGTATCTACGAAATAAACGTCCAACTAAAATTGTAAAAACTAATTGTGTAATCAATTTAATTGCGAATAATTGCAACTAGAAATTTCGTGATAATGTAAAATTTTAAGAAACTGAAAAACCCAATTGCGTCCAAATACAGAAATACATTGTCATTAACAATAGCCGTATCATTAAATTTGTATAACCGTTTCTTCTTTTTGATGATTGGCTGTGATCCGGAAAAACATAAATGCCATCATTTAAAAGGCTTCTATGTAACATTGTCTTACCATTATTTGAAGGTCTAAAAAAGGTATCTATGTAACATTATTCAAAACTCCAGCATTCACATTCGTTCAAAAAAAAAAAAAAAAACCTTGGAGTACTACACTGATATACGTGTCTTCGTAAAGGAATATTCTTATGGTTGCACATTTTTAAATTTTGTAAGCTAATTTAACAAGCAATTATCTGATTGCTTAATTTATGTTTTTTTTTATTAAACTACGCCAAATATCAACAAATATACTACGTATGACTATTATTACATATTTTATCAAGTCAATATATTCAGCAAACCACTGTAAAATTTATAACTCTATAGCTATGTCACCAATCAATTTATTGGGTTCAAATTAGAAATAGTAAAAAAACAGTTTAAAACAGTTGATGATTAAAGTTCGAATAGTTAAATCTCGGTTTAATATACAGTAAAACCTTTATAAATGCACACTCTTGGAACTAAATTTTAACAGCGTGTCCTTAGAAAATAATAAGAAAAAATGCATTTATGCAAGTATACTTTACAAAAATTGGTTAATTTTTTCATTTATTTATTTTACAGTCGTCCCCCCCTACAATCACCTCTTATATAATCACAAATTCTATACAATTACACAAACATATCCGTTTGTCTAAATTATATTAAAAATACCTCTATATAATCACAATCGTACTACAATCACTATCACACTCTTTTTAAATGGGTTTATACTAATTTATTAATTAAATTACCTCTTTAAATCACAAATTATATATACGATTTTATTGGCTATAAATATTTAACTATGATTGGTCAGATAAATTCTTACCTATAAATTTGCAAAAAAATTTTTGTGTGCTTAGAAGTTTTTGCAACAACCAAGCTTTATGTAGTCAGTTTCTGTATTCAATTATTAGCTTGGCCTTAATTAAGTTTTACTGTGTTCAAGTTTTCTTTAAGTACAGTTAAATTTACTATATATAAATTTTTTATAATAACTTCACCTTAAAAAAAAAAAAAAAAAAAAAAAAATTCTTTATAATCAAGGTTTTTTTTATGTTTCAAGTTTTGCTATAAAAATTCATGTTTAAATTTTGCTGCAATCAAATTTTTGCAACAGGTATATCTTTGTGGTTAAGGTTTCATTGCAGTCAAGATCAAGGTTTTATCATAATCAAGGTCAGTTTTGCTGTGGTCAAGGTTAAGGTTTTACTAATTAAGATTTTATCATGGTTAAGGTTAAAGTTTAGTTGTGTTCAGAGTCAAGGTTTTGCTATGTTTAGGATCAAGGTTTCATCATGTTTAGGGTCAAGATTTTGCTGTGATTAACTTGAAAGTTTTGTTATATTTAGAATCAAGGCTTTGACATGATCAAGGTTTTGTTTTGATTAAAGTTTAAATTCACTATAAAGTTTTTTTTACTTTCAAAAATATATAATAATGTCAAAAAAAAGAGCAAAAATAGCAATTAGTAATAGTTTAAAATGTGAAATTTACAAGTATAGCAATAAGTTTTTACATAAAACACAATCAAATATTGCAAATTATTTTAATCAAAAAAATTCAATTTTAAATATTGATTGTTTAACAATTTCAAAAATTTTTTAAAAAAAAAAAAAATAGTTTGTGATTGAAAATAATAAAACTAGCATGACAACTTTTTGTTACAACAAAATTAAGTTTCTATTATTAGATAAAGTCATGTAACTTTGAGTTGAACAGGTTATAAGTGGTCAAATATTTTTAACAGATTTAATTATTAAAAAAAAGGCTACATTATTTGTCTAAACATTAGGTTTTTAGATAATGCATTAAAATTTTCTAATGGTTGAATCTATAAGTTCAAAAAATGAAATAAGCTATAAAACTATCAATTATATAAAAAAGCCAATAGTGTATTAATAGAAATACTTCCAGAACAAATAATAAAATTTCATAAAATAATAAAAAAATATTCATTAGAAATATTTTTAATGCAAATGAAACAGAACTATTCTTTCAGATAGCATCACATTAAATATTCTTATTACAATCACAATCAAGATGGAAAAATGTCTTTATTGTATACAAGTTTAAACCAAAATAATAAAATAAAAAATTATTTGTATGCTGTTTTTAACAAAGATTTAAAATTTTTTTTTTTTATTAAATAATGCTCAAATAGAAATTTTATTAGATATAGAAACATAAGTTCTAAATTTAAAGATTTTTAAACTATATTTGTACTACAATTAAGCATCCAATATGACATTACACTCTCTATTTCCTATATTATACTATAGCTAACTATTTTAAATTAGGTTCTAGCTAGAATAGGTTAGAGAAAACCTTTGAGTAATTGTTTGAACATTAAATTATACAAGTTGTTAGAAAGTATCTCTGTAAGAATCATTTTATGATTAAGGGTTTGGTATTTATAGGTTAAGAAAGAGTTTTAGTATTGTTTAAAGAATTGGGTAGAGTTGGTAAACTGATTTTGGTACATTTGAATTTTGATGTAATGTTGTAAAAGTTTTCTCATTAGTGTTGATATATATTACAGATAGACCAAAGATCTTGATGATACCAGTTAAGTAGTTTGTTTAAAAGGTGGAATAGAAAAGTTAATTGATAAGTATTTTGATGTTTTTGTATATAATAGTAGAATAAGTTTCAGTAATAGTATATAAAATATATTTGCATTAAGGATTTGAGAAATGAAGTGTAAAATTTAAAAGAATATTTAATAAAGTTGTTAAGGTTGTGTTAGTAATTTGGAGTAATTAAAGAGTATCATGTATAATATTTTCAAGTGATTGTAGAATATTTGTGATATTGCTAGGACATGAAAACAAGTAAAGAATATCTTCAATATTTGTGCACTGCAAACAATAAAGTGTAGTATAAAGATAGGAATAGCAAATATTAAGATTTTGCATAGTTGGTAAGTTATTGATAAGAATTTTAATGTGAAAAGAGTATTTTTGTGAATTATCTTCAAGAGAAGAGATAATTTTAAATAGAAGAGACTATTTAATGTTGGTAATATTTTAAAAAAATCTTAAATTTGACTATTTAGCAATTTCTTGAATAGTTATAATGTTTTTAATAAAGGTACGTACTTTAAAATGAATTAGAAGATTGATTCATAAGAAATAATTTGGAATACTAAATTTTGAAATATTAAGCTTAATAATAGATTTTAAGGTTCCTTGTTTAGCATGTGAATTTGCTTGGTTGTGAAATAAGTCTATAAAATGTGATTTGACTTTATAAAAAGTGACAATAATGTTTTTAAGATGTTTAAGATAATTAATATAGTGGATGATATCCTAGTTTTTAGTTTATATAGGTTTGGGAATAATAGTTTGTTCAAAATTTTTAATGACAGTTGTGTTATTGATATAGATATTTAAAGAGGTATTAGATAAAGCTGCAAATAAAAGATAAAGAACTGCTTCAAGTTTAGTGTAAATTGAGTCAAGATAGATTGTATAGCTGCATTAAATTTAATTAATGTGTCATATTTGCAAATTCATCCTATACCAAATTTTACATCTGGAGTTTGAAGATTTTTGATTAATCTATCAGTATAAAAATATAATTTATTTGTATTGAGTTGAAAAATAAGGTAGTTAAGATTAGTTAATTGTTTTTGATATATTAATGAATAAATGAGTTGCTGAATGAATTGAGTATCATAGAATGATAAAATTATTTGTAATTATAATGAAGAAGGTGGTTAAGAAAAAGTAAGGTTATATAAATTGATTAAAACTAAGATTTTTCTAAAATCAATTTGAATAATTGTTTATTTATTTGATTTGTTAATTAGATTATAAGATAATAGAGGAATGGTAGTTTGGTGTAGAGTGATCAGAAGTTGAAAGAAGCTATGAAAGACCTAAGATAGATAAAGAGATTTTAAAGAAAGAAGGTTGTTAAAGAGTAGTTTGATAAGAGATATAGAATGATTAATTATTTGTATAATAAAGTTGATAAAAGAAGAAAGAGTTTAAAAATAAATATGGTGATATTAATTTGGTTGTGTTAAGAAAAAGATTTGTGAAAAGTAGATTTAGAGTAAACCAAGTTAGATTGATAAAATTAAATTAGTTTAGTTATAGAATTTGGGTAAACTATTGTGATTGATAACCTTTAGTTGATTTATTTATATATAAATATATATTGTTCTATAAAAGAATATTTTTGTTATTTGCTGTTGTGATTTATTCTAAGAAGACAATTTTGTTGTTTCTAAGACTATTAATAGTAGTAATAGGTAGGTTAAGAAAAAGGATATCATAGATAATATGAGAATTTTTTGGTATTGATGAAGAATAAAGAAAGATTTGTGAATTAATTGTAGAAAGCTTATTATTTAGAGCAAGTTAAGAAAGATAAAAGAGTAAAGTATAGTTTTATGTTTTACAATAATAATTAATTAAAAAATTAGTTGAGAGTTGAGAAGATCATATTTTAGTTAGCCATTAATTCATTGTATATCAATATTTTTGAGAATTGGCAATGTATTAAAAATACTTTCAGTATTAGTTATACTAACTTTTTGAATAATATTATTGAAAGATAGTAGGTTAAAAGTAAGTGAATTAGTAAGCATTATATTGTTAGTGTTTTTGCTAATAATAGCATTTTTTTAATTTGAATAGTAAATAGACAGGTAAATTTAGATTGTGTATTTGCATGAATTAGAATAATTTAAAACAGATATTTTAAAGAAGATTGTAAAATTAGATTAAAAAGTACTGAAATTTGTGAGAATGTTACTTTTTTGTATTGAATAAGAATAAGAAAGTTTTCAACTTTATTTTGAATTTAATTAAGAATTGGTATAGAAGAACCTTTATCATCATAAAAAATACCAAAATAGTATATAATATCTTAAAGTTTTTTAGAAAAAATAAGTTGATTACTCATTGTAAAAGAAGAAGTTGAGTTTGATAAGAATTTGAATTTAATATAAAAAAGATCAGATTTGAAAGCATTGATTTCTATATTATTAAGTTTATATAATATAGAAATATCATTTATAATATTTTGCATTATATTTGCACTTTCATAATGTCAGGTAGTATCATTTATAAAGGTCAATAGTGAAATTATTATTGAGGAGAGTATTGTATTTGTTATGATATCAATAGATAATTGGCATGAAATTTTGAGTAAATAGTTTTTGTATTTTTTATAAATAAAAGAAAGTATAGGATCATAATAAATTTTCTATAATAAAGGTGAATAGGTTTCATCTTGTTTAATATCAGAGTTGATTGGTATTAGAAAAGTAAAACTATGAGTAGTAATAATTCTAGCAAAATGATGAGAATATAGTTTAGTAATAAGATTAATTCCTGTTAAAAAGATTCATATTCTTTTGCATGTGTTTTGAAGCCTTGATATATTAATTTTATCAAAAACCTTAGACATATTTTAGAAGAAAATTTAGTCTTCTTTATTATTAAGTTTGTAATATTTGATTGTATTATGTAAGATTTGTATAGGAAGATGAGTCAAGAAGTTTTTGGTAGCTGCAAAGTTTAAATTTGATAAAAGATTATAATTTGAAATAATATTATCTAGTTAGTTTATGAATATTTTAATAAAAACTTTTTTGAAAGATTCTATTATTAAGATTGATCAAACTTGATTTAATATATAGTTACAATTAAATTTTTTAGGAATTAAAAAGATATTGGAAGATTTTCAGTCTGAGGAGATTTTCTGCAATTAAAAACATTTGTTTAGAAAGAGTTGAAAGATGTTTTATGCTTTAGAACTAGTGAATTTTATATGTTTATAGCAGGTTTTGAGAAGTCTTGCTACTTTTTGATTAGGTAAATAAGGAATTAGGTTTTGTCATTCTTGTTTAAATATATTATGAGTGAGGTTTTAATAATAGATTTCAAATTTAGGATATAGTTTATAAAGTGAAAAATATTTGGATAATGATAGAATAGTTTTAAGAAGATTAGTTTTAAAGTATTTAGTGAAATGATGTTTAATTGCATTAAGTATTTTCTTATATTCTGTAAAAAGGTTGTTGTAAAGAAATAATTTATCAATATGAATATTGTTGTATTTTTCAAGTATTGTTTTATAAAAAAATTTGTTTTTTTAAATAATTTGTTTCGATTTTTTATTTTTTCTTTAATTTCATCATTAGTGAAAAAAGAAATTTATTTTAGTTATATTTTAATGATAAACACTTTTAGAGATATAAAAGTAGACTGCTTATATGTAAAATCTTATAAGAAACAATTTTATTTAAGCAATTAAAATAGGTTTATTTAATAATAATTTAAGAAAAGAGCAATTTTGTTTAGAGAAAATTTGGTATAAGTGATTATCAAAAAGAATTAGTGATTTGTGTCTTTTTTTTATTTTTATAATTTTAATTTTTTTGTATTTTTTTTATTTTTATTTTTTTATTTTTATTTGTTTTTTATTTTTATTTTTTATTTTATTTTTTTAATTTTTTTAATTTTTTAATTGTTTTGTATTTTTTTATTTTTTTATTAATTTTTTTGTTTTTTTAATTTAATTTTTATATTTTTGTTTTTGTATTTTTTATTTATTTATTTATTTATTTATTTATTATTTTGTTATTTAGTTATAATTCGTTTTGAAAACATTACACAAATCACTGAATTCCAATTTTGCATTGTAACACATTTTAAATATAATGCACGTAGCCTAAAGACATTAAATAATATATAATCACTGAAATTTTATATACATGTGTAATATACAAATCTATGAATACTATTAGCTAATAAATATCCTAGTTTTTTTCTAGAAAAGTGCATTAGCATAAATGTAATAGACTGATAACCTTCTCTTTTTTATTTTGAGACTTCATTATATGTACTTTTTTCCTTTTTTTGAGAACTTAGTTTTTTTTAGAATATAGTATTTTTTAAGATTTTTTCCTTTTTTTGAGATCTTGGTTTTTTTTCCATGAGGTCTCAACTTTTTTTTTTTGATTTTAACTTTTTTTGAGGTCTCGAATTTTTTTTTAAAGTTAGACTCTTTCAAACCCATTTCTGATTACTAAAAAAGAAATACTTTATAAAAAACCACCAGTCTTTATAAATTATTTTTTTTTTGTTTTTTTTTTTTTTAAAAAAAAAAGACTTATATGCTATTTTCTCTTATATAACATTGCATAACTCTGGTATAACATTTAAATGCACAATCTATTTTTACTTCTCAATGCCAAAATGAAATAAATGTGGTCAACACTGTACTAAAGCCATTAAAAAGCAGTGAAAAAAAGATAATGATAATGAAATATCAGATTATGAATCTGATAATGCTAGAAATGAAACTTTTTTAAAAGCATGACAAAGTTTAAGACCAGAAGTGTTTGAAAAGCTTATTGAAAGTGCTAAAAGACTGAATATATAGAGAATAAATAGACAAAAACCAACCTACACAGGTTTTGTCTTATCAAATTTACGAAATAAAAAAGCAACATGAAGAAAGACAGCATCTGGATCAAAAAAAAAACTAATTGGCTTTTAGCCAATAATACCCAATCATTCCAAAATAAACAAAAACTTTCATTTAATGAGAATACTGAATTTTTGTTTAATGAGTATGAGAAACTGTCATCTAATGAGAATGATAAATTTTCATCTAATGAGAATAATAAGTTTTCATTTGATACAGATACTGAGCTTTCATCTAAAGAGAATAATAAACTTTCATCTGATGCAAATACTGAGCTTTCATCTAAAGAGGATAATGAATGTTCATTTTATATGAATGATGATGAAGTTAATGATATGAACAATTACAATAAACTGTATAATGAACTTTCATATAATGAAGTAATCAATTCTAGTGATGAAGATAAAAATAATAAGTTTAGCTTAGAAGCACTTGATTCATTATTAAAAGAAAATCCTTCTGATATTAGACTTCACATGGTTAGTCAATTTCTTCACTTAGTTAAAAACCATAAGTATACTAAAATGTCGGCTAATAAGCTTCTTGCTTATAGTGTTAATAGAAGTCCATAGCATGCTTAAGTTATTCGTACATGAGCTAAACAGTGGTTAAGTAAAAATAAAATTTACATGTCATGTAAAAACAAAATCGTTATTGTCTCATGAAGACTTTAAATCAAACATTACACAATATTTGCATGCAAATAAATTTAAAATAACCTTTAAGCAGTTTGTAAAGTTTGTAGAAGATGAAGCTATTCCTGCTTTAGAAATTGAAGAAAAAAAAACTATCTCTATTAGAACAGCCCAAATATGGTTACACAGTCGTAGTTGGAATTATAAGGGTCATTCAAAAAACATTTATTATAATGGGCATGAGCATGATGATGTTGTAAGGTACTGGCAACAATTTTTAGAACAAATGACTAATTTGAGACCTCGAATGGCAGTCTATAAAGAAGATGATATAAATCAAGTTATTCTACTAAGACTACCACCAAATGTTCCAGAAATTGTCCTAGTTACTTATAATGAATCAATTTTTTATACTAATGATAGTGTTAAAAAGTTTTGGGGACCTGTAGATAAAGACCCAATTCGATGAAAATCCTAAGGTTCTAGTATACATGTTAGTGAATTTATTTGTGAGACAATTGGTCAGCTTTGCCTTTCACAAGAAGAAAAAGAAGCAAATGATTTATTCTCTAATAACAAACATCTTCCTTATACTAATGCATGTATTATTATTTACCTGACCATTAACTGAGATAGTTGGTGAACTAATAAAGATGTTGTAAAACAAGTGTCTGAAAGGGCTATTCCAATATTCAAAAGAACTCATCCTGGAAAAGTTGTGTTTTTTATATTTGATAATAGTTGTAACCACAATTCATTTGCTGAAGATGTGTTGTTAGTTACTCAGATAAATATAAAAAATGAAGAAAAAAGACTGTTCCTTTGTAATGACAGAATGCATAATAGTTCTATTCATATTATAATATTTGTAAATCAAAATAATAAAGTAAAGCCAAAAGGTATCAAATATGTTCTTCAAAAACATGGTTTGTGGATGTCAGGTTTAACAAAAGAATGCAATAGGTATAAAGCAGATGCTTTGACTAATCTACAATATTGTGCAACAAATATTCTTAAAAGTCAGCCTGATTTTGTATCGTAAAAAAACCATTTACAAGAGATTATTGAGATGGCTGATCATCTTTGTATTTTTTATCCAAAGTATCATTGTAAGCTCAATTATATTGAGTCTTTTTAGAGAGCAGCAAAACAATATACACATTTACATTGTGATTATTCTTTTAAAGATCTTAAAAAAACTGTTCTTCATACATTAGAATCTGTTAGTCTTACTAAAATTCATTATTTTGCACATCGATCTGATCAATATATGAGTGCTTACAAGCATGGTCTTTCTAGAAAAGCTGCAATTTTTGTTGTAAAAAAATATTGATCTCATCGTTAGATACCAGAAAGTATATTAAAAGAATTTGATCATATAAATTAGAGTTGAATTATATTAAGTTTAGAAAATTTATTAGTTTACAAATTATATGCATTGTAGTGAACATGAAATATGACTAATTCAAAATAATAAATATTTAACAGTATTTCAATATGCAAAAAAAAAAGTTTATATTTTTATTATCAAACTTGATAATAAGGTTTTTTAATAAACTTTATATAAAACGATAAATATTTATATTTTTTGAATAATAAATTAATAAAGGCATGTTGCAATGATTGAACATCTGATCAATGACCCAGAAAAATATTAAAGTTTATGGGTTTCTGACCTCAATATTCAAAAATTATATTGAATAAATCAGCTAATCAATACGTTGTATAGTCATCACATGATCGAATTATAGCCAATTAAAGCATTTCACGTGATAATCATCGTCACTGAAATTTTAAAAAATATTATTAAAAATACCTTTTGTAAAATTCTAACTTCTCAATAATTTATTAATAAATTATAAAATAAAAATACATAGATTTATAGAGCTTATTAAATACTACTTAACAATGTATTTATTTTCTTTGGTACTAGTTAAGATATGAAGCTTTTATAGTTTAAATTTTTGGATGTCTTTAGACTGCGTGCACCATATAAGTATATTTTTATAAGCTGCCACATATATATATTACGCTTCGTCAGTGACGCTTATGCAAGAATTAAAAGTCAGTTAGATAAAAAAAAATTAATTTACCGTTTACATCCCGTTTAATCCTTGCATAGCGTCACGTACAAAGCGTAATATACCTTTTCAACAAAACAACGTTGTTGATATAATTGAATAATACTCAGGTTATCTACTAAACTAATAGTGGAAGTACAAATCACCGGACCATTTAAGTATAACTGGCCCTATAAAATTTAAGTGCGACAAGCATTTGACTCATAATTAAAATTTTTACGTGTGACAAATCGTGGTACTGATACGTATACTTACCACGGGTTCTTGGTGGCACCTCTAAGTTACTAATTTTGTACAGGTTACACCATGTAATCTGATCATGGAGGTGAGGTCGCCAATTTATAATTAAATGATTTTTTATTAATATATGTTTATTAGATTCAATTTTTTGCCTTCGAACTGTTCCTAAATTTTTTGCAAGACCAAAATAATGGTGGTCCAACTTACTACGGATTGTGTTGAAGAAATTCTCAAATACTTGTCAAATGATGTTAAGGCTTTACATTCCTGTTTATTAGTAAATCGGACATGGTGTCGTCTTACTGTTCCTATCCTGTGGTGCAATCCTTGGAAATATAAATTCGATATCGGCGAAGAAAAATTCAATCAAGCAATGACTATGATTTTGCTATCGTTCATCCCCCTTGAAATAAGAGAGGTATTGAGACAACAATACAAGAACGTTGTCATTGATTTTCCTCCAGCTCGAACACCATTATTTAAATATACTTCATATTGCCAGTATCTCCCACGATATGATATTAGGCAGCTTTGGAATGAGATAGAAAATAGAAATGGGTTGGCCTATTCTATTCCGGATTATGTTCGTTATTTTTATATGAAACATATCTATATGATGTTCATCAACTCAAATTCGAATCTTAAACATCTCGAGCTTCCACAGCATATGCGTCGATTAATAGATTTCTGTGCTTGTAGAGAAGGATTAAGTCAATTACTAGTTTTGGAATGTAATGCTAATTACGATAGTGGTTCTTTTTATGAAATTGCAGAAATTTGCCGTTCCTTACAAAAGTTGATTGTTGACTGTGACCATGATAATGATGGTTTGGCGACGCTAATTCGAAACCAACATGGATTAGAATATCTAGAAATTGCATCATTAGAAGGTGATGAGTGTACTAATATTGGCAATGCGTTAAAGACACAAGCTGATACCCTTTCACATATTCGATTATCATTCCTTGCATGCATATCACCAAAAATTTTGTGGTCCTTTATAAACCTAAAGACATTACAATTTGATCTAATTGACCTTGGCGCTTCATATGTTAAAGAGATATTAGAACAAGCAAACTTTCCATATCTTGAAATACTTGATATATTTGGCCTTAAATGTGAACTTCATATTAGTCTTCTTACAAGGTTGATTAAACAGACCCAACATACATTGCAAAGAATATATTGGAATGAAGTCACGAAACCAATAGAGGAGGATTTACGATCATATCTTGAAGCTATTGCTCGAAATTGTCCAAATCTTAAATTCATTACTATTCCTTACATGAACCAAGTTAAAGATCTTCTTGGAAATTTATTAATATCCTGTCAGCAATTAGAAGGTATCAAAATAGTAATTTGCGAAAAGGTTGATGCAAATTGGGTATTCGAGTGTTTAGGAAAAAAATCATCAAAAACTTTACATCTGATAAATTTATCAGAAGGATGGTGGTTCTCACATTCAGAGTTAGAGTCATTTTTTAAAATGTGGAAAGAAAAAAGACCGATGATATTCATTTCACCAAAAGATACAATGCAAGACAGAAAAATAATTGGAGTCATCGAAAAGTATTTGCAAGTGAGGACAATCAAAAAACATATAGACATAGGATTTGACATGAATCATATACGTTGGATCAAGGATTCTTGGAGGATAGGCCCAGTATATGATAGATAAATGACAGATGAATGTTTTTTTAGGTGCTTAACAGTTACTATTTTCTAGTTGATATTATTAATATTATAAAAAAACTAAATATGAACTAAATTATATACAGTTCTTTGATTGTAGTAAAATACAAAATAATAAAAATCAGGACAAGCAATTTTTCAAACATACAATTTACAGGTTGGTTCGAACACATAGTTATTATATTTGCGAATACATTCGTGGTTATATAAATAAGTATTGATTTAGATTTTATTACTAATTTTTTATCTTTTTTTTCTGTTGTATATAAGCTATTTAAACCATATTAGAAATCTACATTTGCCGGCTCTCTTAATACAAGATATTAAGGATATCTTAAAGGTTTGTAAATTACAACTAATAATAATGACTGTATAGAATTGTATAAATATGAATTGATCTTAAGCAAAATTGTCTAAAAAAAAAACTAGTTTTTTACAATATTTATTATTTTTAAAAGCATAGTTAAATTTATATAATAATTAATTTGTTTTTTAAATTATCTTTATACAGTCGTCCTCCTCTATATCACGTTTGTTTTACATAAAAAGATGTAACTATAAAATTTTAATAGTAATGTGATTACATAAAGTTTTTTTTTAATAAATAATGTCAATAATTTTCAAAAAAAATGGTGCTTGTAACGAGGGTGATTATATATGAGGTGACTGTATAAAATTTTTTAAGAATTATTACGTGTACATACAAATAATATAAAGCATATGTTTATAAAAATAAGGTTGTGATTCGGCTAAAATATTCAAGAAAATTTTAGTTGAATATGCTATTTTGCATCCGACAAAGAATTTTTTTAATTTTTTGAGCTATAATGTTTTTTTAAAATAAATATCAAATTTGCATTCACTTATCTTGATATAAGAAATTCTATTGTTTAAAAGGGCGAATCTATTGTCGCTGGCGGCGACAGACCCAAGCCAAGCAGATTTCATGATTCAAAGATCTCAAAATTTAGAATCAAAATAGCTCAAAATTATGCCATGAAACTAACTTTTGTATCTTAACAAAAATATTTTTTGCATAAACTCTAAATATAACTAAATAAAATTCGAGTACTGTTACTGCGGTTACAAGTAGATTTTTTCAATTTTCTAACTTTATTTTATATAATATAGTTAAGTAAATATATAGCATTGTTTGTTTAAAGTTAAATATTTACACAAATTTAATAAATATAAAAATAATTAAATAAAAAATATAGTAATTAATAACCTATTTCTTTTCTTCAACAACTGAGTATACCTTTGCTCCAACATTCAACCATCCTGAACCTTTGCAACTGCATTTGTCCTTAACTCTTCCAATTCTGTCTCCAAGCTCTGTATTCTTCTTATTAAGTTTTGTTAAGTGATAAAAAAAAAAAAAAAAAAGAGAATAAGAAAAATTTTAAAGATGATATTCATTGCTCATTCTCAACTTGGATCATCCCTAAGGTCTCATATAAGGCATTATTATTATTTCAATGAGCATGATGTACATTTCTTGAAAGACTTTATCAAGACATTATTATTATTATTATTATTATTGGAGTTGTTATTGTTGATGTTGTTGATATTATTATAAAAATTTTATAAAAAAAAAAAAAAAAAGAGTGATAAAAGGATTATAAAGTTTTAATGAACAATAATTAAACAAAAGTAGACATCAATGAGAAGTTAATTTATCAAATTTAGAAATCAATTAGAAATTGATTTAATAAATTTAGAATAATTAAGATTTGTAAGTTGCATGATTGCAAATCATATGAAATCCTAGCATTTTATTGGACACTTTAAGTATCCTAATGATTTTCAAAAAGAGTATAGATTTGAAATTTTATAATATTTCTGATATAGATTAACAGTCTAAGACATATTATCAGGCTGTAAAGGTCGTACATTCAAGACTAACTAGAATAAGCTTTCTGCTAGGATCTGAATCTTGTAAGACCCTTGGTTAAAGTACTAAAAATAGAATTTTTTTTTATATACTTCTTTGAACAATTATATTTATTTTTATTATTATATTAGAATATTATATTTATTAGTTAGATATTGATAATTTATTAGTTTATATATATAGTATACTTATTTTTAGTTTAGTTTTCTTCTGGGTCTAGAATAAATAGATGTTTAGGACTGCATAGAGCAAAACTGAAGCTCTATATACATTTATAATTATATTTAATTCTCTTTTCTATTGAGATAAATCTGACATTAAAGAAAATTCAGTCTAGGTAGTCAGTGTCCTAGCAATCTGATAAAATAGAAACTATTATTTATTATAATCTTAAATACTTCTTGAAAATAGCAAATTTTTCTACAA